AAAAAAAAAAAAAAAAAAAAAATCCTGATGAGTAGGATTATAAAGGTAAATGAAGATTAGTATTTGAGGAAGTCTTCTATCATTATCCCCCACATACTAGCTGTGTGTCCCTAGGCCCATCACTCAGCCTCTGGTTCTTTACTGTGAAACAAGGATAATGAAGGTGCCAATGGCTCCCTGCCCGTAGCACAGTGGCTATGGTGCCAGCCACATACACCGAGGGTCAGGTTCCCAGGCCAGCTAAACAACAATGACAACTACAACAAAAAATAGCCGGGTATTGTGGCAGGCACCTGTAGTCCTAGCTACTTGGGAGGCTGAGGCAAGAGAATCACTTGAACCCAGGAGTTTGAGGTTGTGACCCCATGGCACTCTACCAGGGTGACAAAGTGAGATTCTATCTCAATAGAAAAAAAAAAATATGAAGATGCTAAACTGAAGGGATCATTGTAAGGGTTATCTGAGTTAACCCGTGTGAAGGGGTCCGCAGGGATGGCACACAGCACTCAGTGAAGGATTCACTGCCCCTGCCATCAGTATCATGCCAATAAAGCGATATAGTTAAGTAGTCACTTTAAGGGGCTGTTTTGCAATGTCAAACTTCAAGTGTACATGAAATATTTATTCTAAATGTTGTCTTTACTATTTATTGATATGGTATTATAATACATTATATGTGGAAAAATTATTGAGGTCAAATCTTAATAAAAATAATTTTTAAAATTTCAGTAGCAATGGTATTTAGGCAGGTTGTGGCGCTTTATTATCCTTCATTCAAACAGAAGTACTTACTGAGCTTCTGTGTGTGTGCCAGCCACTATGCTGAGTGAAGGGATACATCAGTGCATGGAACAAAGCTCCTGCCTTCATCAAGCATGTATTTTAGTGAAAGTGAATAAGTGGTAAACAGATAAAACAAGAAAACAATAATGTGTCAAATGGTGACAAATTCTATGAACTTAAAGCAAGAGAGAAGAAGAATCACCTACTTGTCAAATCCGGTGTATACTGACTGTCCTTGTCTTTATATTCCGTCACCATCTGATGCTTACTGTGCCTTTTGCCTTTGGATGATGAAGCATCACTCTCTGTAGAGGGACCATGTCATAGCCTTGAGAGATAGCATACATAATGCCTGAGAACAGACTCTGGAACTAGAGTCAGACCTTGGCTGTCTTTTACTAGATCTGCAACCTTGGGCAAACTGCATTAACTATGCCCCTGTTTTCTTAGGTGTCAATACAGGTGATAGTAATAGAACTTTCCTCACTGAATTGCTGCAAAGATGGCGTGAATCTTTGTGGAGCATCTGGCATAGCACCTTCCACATAATGGACATGTGTTTACTGCTGGTCTGTAGTTACTGTCTCTACCACCAATGCCTTACACTTAATAGGTATTTGAATAAAATGCATCTCTTTAGTTTTTTCTTATTTTTCTTCTGTGACGCCTCTTCCTAAGCTTGTTCATGTGGACACTGAACAAGATTCATCTTATTTCTGCTTATTCTCATCCATCCTTATGACTTGATGTACTTGCTGTATGCTGATGGCTCCCACTCATACCTCTCTTCTGAGTAATGCCATCTTCCAACCAAACAGCACTACTTGAATATTCTTTTTTTTTTT